AGTTGGGGACATAGTTACCCCTTTGCAGACTACCTTTACCTTTTTCCTTTGCAGCTAAAGATGGTGACTATTTTGTGGCCAATAGGATAAGAGAAGTGATATATGCAACTCTCAGATCATGTCCTTAAAAAGGAAACTGATTTCTCTTCACATACTTGTTGTCTGTATTTCCCAAGGGCTGGAGTGGGATCATGGTGCTGGTAAACTAACCTCAAATCTGTAGACACAAGCAACATTCCAGGAAATAAAAGAGTAGGCTGGGTTCCTAACTAAAGAACTCGTGGAACTTCCAGCTGCCAAGGATCATCTACTATGAAAGAGTAAGAAATTTGCATCTGTCTTAGAGCCACTGTATTTCTGGGCCTCCTTGTTTCAGCAGCATGGCCCAAGTAATACATGCAAAAACCATGAAAACATGTTATATTCCATTCCAAAGTCTCCTGAGACTGGTAAGGAACAAGCATAAAGGCTTACATGTGGGTAAGCCAAAATAGGAAGTACTTTCTTGAAAAGTTTATGGAAGTGACAATTGTATCTTAAAAACTTGGCCCAGGGTCAAATCGTATGGGAACAATGCTGTCTCTCTGTGGCAATTCCATGAACCGTATCAGTCAGGGTCACTTTTCATGTGGACTTTGCATATTCCACTTGGGTCATCAGAGGATGCCAGTGCTGTTCTTGGAGCTGCTGGGATCTAAGAGGGCAGGGGAAGTGTAAGATGTAGAATTGAGGGCTCTTGCCAATTTTCCCAGTTGTCTGGGTTTGGATGCAATCAGCATGGCAGTCCTTCAGAAAGTGTTCTGTGGGAGGGTAGGAGCTCACCCCAAGGCAAAGAAATCTGTGCAGGGCCATGGGCCACAGTCTAGGATGGTGTCAATCCAGATTTTTCTCCAAAGTACAGTGGGGCACTGTGTCTGACAGTTATGAGCAGGACCCTGCCGTGGACCGTCTCAGGAAGGGCTCGAAGAGAAACCATGTGCTGTAGGTAGACCCATGTCCTGCCAGATGCCTGCAGAAGCTCCGGGGTCTACAGCCATGGCCAGAGGTGTGCCACTTTCCCGAAGGATCGGCACTCGCGATCACATTTTTATCAAAATGAGGGCATGTCCTGGCATCAAACTATTCACTTTCTGGCAGAAATGTCTTTAGTAAAGAGTGACCAGTTGGTACTCAAATATTCCATTTTTGTTGCCTCCAAAGACAGAGACTAAAATCTTGTAAAGACAAAACAGCTCTGGCGTGTCAAACTCTGCCCAGAAAAAACACAAGCAACAGCAAGTCATGAGGCTGAAGACGTGGGGTAAGGAGGAAAGGGAAATGAAAGAAGAGCCACAACAAGGAAAATATTGTGCTCCTGGAAATGAAACTTCACGATGCTGGGACTCCCCCTTAGAAGCCTGGGGCCTGACTCAGCACACAGTGATAAAATGCTAAAGACGAATGACTTAGGACTAGGGCAAAGTTAGATTTCCCCACAGCCTTCTTCGCCCACTTGACACCCTTGAGTGTTTTTATTTCTCTTTTCCCATAGTGCTCGGGGGTCCCCAGTCACACCACTGAGCTCACCTTGGTTTCTCTTTTCCGGCAGAAGGCAGGGCCAATGATTGCTTTCCCTCTTATGGGTAAAATCTAATCTTTAATTTTAAAAGGAAAGTGACAGTGGGCAGAGGGGAGGTTAAAACAGATTACAGATTTCAAAGAATGTATTTTGGGACTTTTTGAGTATTTTTTCCAGCGTCAGATTTTGCCCAGTATATTCCTATAGCAACATACTGCCTATTATTACTATTGTTGCTGTGTTTTCACTTTATTCTCCTTTAATATTCAATCTCAAGGTGAGTGACTTTTACATCTTTCTCATTTAGGAAAAATTACTAAATGCTTGGGGCTATTTTATAAGCTTCATCTAAAAACTGACTCAGAGAAATACTTTTGCTTTTGAAACAGTTTGTTTCCCAAGGGTGTTGAAAGAGGCAACACGTTGGTGTCTATCCCACTAACTCTATAATTTCCGTCAAGGATGGAAATAAAATTTCTCTTCCTAAGAGAAGAGTTGAGATAGTGAAGATTATCAATAAGTTAAGCTCTCAGCCTGAATTTGCTCAGCAATATCTTTGTCCTTGTGGACTGGGGAAAAACAGAAAACATGGGACTTCCTGAGGGGACTTTTACCAAGTGAACAAACAAGAAACAATCAAAGAGTGTACGCACTCCTCCAACTCAAACATTACAGAATTTCAAATCTTGCTAGAAGGTCAATTCCCTGAGCTCTTTAGGACCCTGACCAGTTATACACAGAGGGCACGTAACTTATTACAGTATGAAAATAAAAGAAAATCTTTGTGTGTTTTGTCAGCCTCACAAATGGTCCAAATAATCACAAAAAAGGCAGAAAGGAGAGATGGGATCAACTGATCCTGGGAGTCTCACAAGGTCACTCTGTTCTCTTTGTATATGAGAAATAATAAAATGCTTTTGCTATGATTCACCATATCATAGGAACTCCAGAAGCTAAAGGAAGACATCAGAAAGAAGAGAAAGGTAGCGATGAGGAGAAATGATGAGAGAAGAGAAGGAGAAAATGTAAGCTCTGATCAAGTTGCCCCATCAAAGACTGCTTTTTGCTCAGATCCTGATTCCACAGTTGGAGGTTCAGGTGCCTTGAGCATCTTTCCACATCTGCTGTTCTCATCTCTCCACTCTCCCTTCTCCCGTAGCCAATAATGACAAGGCAATATAGTAAGTGTCTCCTTTTGGGGGGTAGGTGGAGTAAGGAAGCTTTTCTAAGCTTCCAAAGATCTGGGTAGAGAAAGTAGAGAAGGTACCATTGTTTCCCCAGAATGTCTAGAAGGACTAAGGAGGCTTCTCATTTCTTTGAGCGCCCCACACTTAATCTAGGTTCCTCTCTGAGGTCCTTCAGCAACTCCTGCCCCACCCAAAGAGAGTAAGTACACCCGTGGAAATCCCCTGAGCAAACTAGCACATGCTGTACCAAAATATTGTGTCTTGGCTTTGTTCTTTTACATCTTCACAACTAAAGGAAAGAGATACAATCAAAATGATAGTCCACTTAAATGATAAACAAGAGAATTTAAAGAGACATGACCCAGTTACTCACCTGTGGAGTGACAGTCTGTGAGCAGTTCATGAGGTCTGTGTTGGTGGATGGATATGATTTGTGATTTCTCTTTGAGGACTTATTTAGTTCATGGAAATTTATAATTAGAGCTTTCTTGAAAGGATATTCAGCTCAAGACGCAAAACACACTGATTTTTGTGAATCAGGCTTATGATTTTCTAACTGAGCATTCAAAACACAATCAGAGACGAGAACACAAATTATTATTTGAGGCACAAAACTGTCACCGTTTCTTTGGTCTGGAAGATGTGTGAAAGATGCAACAGGTGGAGGAGGTAGATTATGTCCCATTCAGTTGGCTTCTTGCTCTGAAATGTTCCTTGAGCTTGTAGTCCAGAGTGTGACTATAAACAGGGCATCCCGTATCTGTCACGGATCTGCCTCAACCCTGAAGAGGGGCTTCCAGGGGCTGATACAAATGCCCCACCTCCTCTTTTCTCATCTTATGAGATTGTCACAGTAACTGTAATGATGACAAGCTAACTTATGCAGCTTTCAAAGACTCTCTGTTTTACACTTGGGGAGATGTTGTTCATCTTGGTTACTATAGCCATTTTTACAAGCCCATAGGACCGATTTTACCCAATAACAGTGAATTAAACAGAAGTTCAAAAGTCACTGTCCACTCAGCATCTCTGTACTTGTCACTTTATAATCCTAGTCTAGTGGCTTCTTTCTTAAAGAGCCAAGGTGAATCAAGACAGTGGTGTTTCATGGCCAGAATCCGGGCTAGATTATCCGTGAGAAGACATGAGCAGAAGAAGTATGCCCTTCAGGAGCCCTGTCTGTGTGTTGATGACAGAACCTCTATGTACCTGTGCCTTCAAATGTGAATGATGGTTTAAGGGGGAACATCCAACAATTACTAAAAAGTCAGCCAGGCTTAACAAATATCACTGCTTTAACCATGAGGCCATGTTGGGGACAATTTTGATGGACAAACTAGTTAAGGAGAGTCTGAGTGACCTCTGTCATTGTCTCAGGCTTCTGCCCCGTATAAGTAGGTACCAGTGTGGTCTGCATGTACCGTATGTTACTGCAAAGCAGTGCGGCAATCAGATCTTCACAAATAGAATCCCATTTTACATACATGGGGAAGACTATTTAAACAAGAGGTCTTTTCCTGTAAAGGGCTAGATGGTGAAGATTTTACACTTTGTGTGCTGTACGGTTTCTGTCTCAGCGACTTCACTGTGCTCTTGCAGCCCCAAAGCAGCCACGTTACAACAGAACTTTACTTACGAAAACAAGTGGTAGGCCAAATTTCGCCCCTAGGCCATAGCTTGCCAACTCCTAAATTAAACAAATAATTCTTGAACGCCTACTATGACGGGTGAGGCATCGGTAACCACCAGGGATACACAAAGAACAAAACAGAATAGTTACTGTGCTTGTGGAACTCTCTAGCGTGTATGTTCTGAGATGAGAGGTAGACAATTTAAAATATACCTGCAATAAATGACCTCATTAAGTGCAGAATCTTTCTTTAAAGCAAAACTCACCCCAGACATGCCACTGATAAGTTTGTCAGTTTAGATTTTTGTCTCATGATACTTTTAAAGCGGGCCTAAGCTAGCTTGAACCTGGATTTGAATCTACCACCTTAAGTCTGAAACAAGCCTAGTATGTTTGGGGGCTGCCAGGGACACCAAAGAGGTACAAGCATCTCAAAGGCTCCATCCCTTCCTTCCCTCCACTTCTGCTTATAGCAACACTCCTTTTACACACACTTCCTGTTTCTGTCACTTGCCTTCTTTTCTGCTGTTTATACTTCCCCCAATACTTCCCCCCTGTGGTTAAACAAGTATAAAGTCCTAAAGCTGTAGATTTAAGTTGCTCTCTCTCTCTCTCTCTCATTCATTCCTCCCTACACGTAGGCTCACGCGCCTGCTCTCTCCTCTCTTTCTCTCTCAGAATGACACCTCTAGGTATTGCTTTGGGTATGGTTTTCTATTTACTTCAAGCCGTTTCTGGAGAAAGTGGCTATGCAGAGAATGGTGAGTCATTTCTAACTTTTCTTTAGGATTTCAGATGATCTCTAGCATCTGTTTCAGGTTGCTCAGATCCCTAACAGACCAAAGTGGGGCACTGGGTTAGAGGGAGTTTGAGGGCTTGCCATGTAGTCAGTCGTTTTGTGCATTCTAAGCAGCAGGACAGGGGGCCTGGGGACAACACTGTGAGTGGTTTGTAAAGGCTTAGAATTGTCAAGGGATGCACTTGACTCTCTCAGTGTGGATCTTACATGTCGGTCAATGCCTCTGCTCTTACAAAAAGAACACCCACAGAGACACACTGGTTATGCTTGCTGGAGAACCTTCAAGGTAATTTTTCTTTGTCAAGAAATGAAGCTCATTTTGTTCTGTTTAGCTTTTTAGAAGGTTCTGAAAGCTTCACTTTCAAGATAAAATAATATCCAAGAACAACAGCTTTGTCTGCACTTACCTTTGCTATATCCTCAGCACCTACTCTAGCACCTAGAACATAGTACACATTTAACAAACATTTGAAAATTTCTTCAAAATACTTTAGTTTTGGTAGCATCGTGTGGTACTGTTAGTGAATAACTGAATAGGGTTAAGATCTGAGCGAGTTCTCATTGAAATACATTTAACTATCTCCATGTCAGCAATTTTACCATCATATAATAATTATCTTTGGGATCCTTAAAATACTTCGTATCTAGAGGCAGATGCTGCCTACTTTGTAAATCTATTGTAATTACAACTGAACCATACACAAAGGTGAAGTAGTCCAGAGGAGCCACCTGGAAACTTGGACCACCAGATTGCTCCTGAAAATTAAATGCTTTCACTTTAAGACTTACAAAGTGTTTGCTTAACGAAGATATCAAACACATCAGTCTAATGAATCAGCTTGGATATCTTAAGTTATGTAATTTCTAAGGATGGAAATCCCTAGAATATTTTCTTTAAGGGACTTTTCAGAGGGTTGACATTTTTCACAGTGTGACCGTAAAAAAATCACTTTGTGGGAGATGATGATTATTTCATGGTAAATGTTGTCTTGTGTCTGTAGATAGATGCTTGGCACGTAACGCATAAATCTTACTCTTTGGAGTATAGTATATCCCTTCTATTTCTCCCTGCTGGTCATATTATTTTGAAAAGAAATTAACAATTTTAATTGAAAGCTGAGTTTTCACTTCAACTTTTTAAATTTCAGGGTTTTTTTAGGAGATTTGTAACCACCCATCCACATGACTACATCAAAATGCTTCCCGGTTTGGAGTGTCAGGAATTCAGAATAATCAACTGTGGTTTGTTAAAAGATAAGTTAGTTCTCTGATAACCACAAGAGTGATCAAGAGAAGAAAGGGATACTTTTTAAAAATCCAAACCATTTAGACTTTTACTCAACTAAGCCCTTTCAGTAGGAAGCTTTTAAACCACACTGCCTTGTCTATAATACATAGTTCGAAAAACCTAATTTTTATAATAAGCTTTTAAAAATTAATAGGTTAACTCGCTGTTAAAAGCTCTATGTAATTTCAAAGCCATAGTCATAATAACATCTTTGACAGAGAACTCTTTTTCAAAGGAAGCCCAAATGTTTCATGTACATTCTCAGAATTAGAATTCTTATTTTACCCTTTCATTACTTATTTCTCAAAAAAATGTGATAAAGTAGCTAACCCTGACTGAGTGCTTACTGTGTTCTAAGAAGTCTTTGTATACATTTATTCAGTGATTCCTCATGATAACATGAATTTAAATATCAGAACTCTGAAGCTTAGAAAGGTCGAGTAACCTGATGGAAGACCACAGCTACACAGTAGAATAGCCAGGATTTTAACCCACATCTGTTCAGCTCTGGTGCTAGAGGTCTTAACCACTGTGTATATGATGCTTAGCTAAGCTTAGAGCAGGTATAACATTCTCTTTGTAAAATGCCGTGCGATTTTGCAGGTTATTGAGGAGAATTTTTCTTGTATACTAAGCAACTTGGCTCAGTAACATCTGCTAAAGAGCCAATGAGCTGTTTCTCAAAACATGACCATTTTAATTGTACGACCACTGCTTTTTTTCTCATTTATTGAAGTATAGTTAACTTACAATGTTGTGTTAGTTTCAAGTGTACAGCAAAGTGATTCAGTTATACATACATATATATATATATATATATATATATATTCTTTTTCAGGTTCTTTTCCACTGTAGATTACTATCAGATATTGAGTATAGTACCCTGTGCTATACAGTAGGTCCTTGTTATTTACCTACTTTATATATAGCAGTGTGTACATGTTAATCCCAAACTCCTAATTTATCTCCCTCCGCCTCCCACTATCCCCTTTGGTAACCATAAGTTTGTTTTCTATGTCTGTGAATTTATTTCTGTTTTGTAAATACGTTCATTTGTATCAGTTTTTAGATTCCACATGTAAGCAATATCGTATGATATTTGTCTTTCTCTGTCTGACTTACTTAACCTCTAGGTCCATCCATGCTGCTGCAAATGGCATTATTTCCTTCTTTTTTATGGTGGAGTAATATTCTATTGTATATGTATACCACCGCTTCTTTATCCATTCATCTGTCAATGGACATTTAGGTTGCTTCCATGTCTTGGCTATTGTAAATGGCCACTGCTTTATAAAATGTATAAGAATATACAGCAAGCTCACTTTGCCAGATTGGATGGTTAAGGATAGTGGGAGTGCTTTGTTCTGTTAATACCCGGCATCTCCTAGACTCTGCTCTCTCTGGCTTACGTTGTACGTTGAAGAATTTTTGAGTCAAAGATGATCCACAAATGTCTGAATCCAAATAGTAATGTAGGTTCTGTTGTACAAGATTGGTGGAAGTTCTAAAGAAGAGAAAACATTAAGAGAGCATGAGTACTGCCATATAAGGGCAGGCTAAAACCACACAGAACCATTCCATCAAGAAATGTGCCAGCAATTAGGGGACTAGATCTCACTCTATGAGATTAGGAACGAATATGTTTTGAAATGGGAGCCCTAAATGGTGGGCTGCCCCTCATTATTTAAAATTGTCATTAATAAGAGGGCCATACTCTTCTGAAATTACATAAGGAGTCTTTGCTGGTGGCAGAATTGTGAGCCAGATGGGTTCTAGGTATAGTCAGAAAGAGCAGTGCACACAGCTCTTATCTAGATGTGGCTTTTTGAGATTTGTCACTTTGACTGAACCGACCTTTCTCTCAACTGGTTGATCCACTCACAACCAGCTTTAGTAACTTTCCCATAGAACTAATGGGTTATTGAAGTAAAGTGGATGCTGCTTGTAATCCCATGGCCTACAGGACACTAAACTGGGGTTTGATTTTTAGTATATTGTCTATCCTATTTAAAGCCCTAGAGCATCTATTTTCTAGTATCAATGGGCCAAAGTAATTTCTAGTATCATTGGATTTTGAAGCAATCATAGCTCACACTCAGCCTGAGAATGGCTTTGGTTACTCTGGATTTTCTCAGATCCCACTTGGAGTCTATTTGCTGGCATAGTTTTCTCTATTAAATATTGTAAAATATACACACAAAATATCTATATAATCTTAAGGGCCTCAACCCAGCTTAAGAAATCGAATACTATCTCTGACAGACAATACTTTCCAAAAGTGGTGGCAAAAAAATTCTGGTTCCCCACATACTTCCAGAATTTTGCTAATACCTAGAAAATGCAATATCTCTAAAAGAAGATTGTATAAGCTCAGAAATAGTATCTATAAGATTCATGTCATGTAATTTTTCCTAATCATGTTTGCCTCAGTTAGTAGCTTAAGACAAGTTGCCCTATATAAATATTCACACAATGGAGATAATCAATGGTACTTTTAGTTAGGATGCCTATTTAGGCAAGGGAAAGCTTCCATTTTAAAAAAGTGAACTTCTGAATGCAAGTTAGCTATCACCTTCTTTCATTCAAAAAAAATTCTTGGGAGGGAATAATTGAAGATTAGTAATAAAGCCCAAGACTAGAATAGGTAGCACATAAATAATAAAGTATCTCATTTGAAATGTATACAAACAAAAGAAATTCCCATCTATATAAGAGAAAGCGTGTGTTTAGTGTCTCATTCTAGACCTCCAATGCACTAACCCAATGGCAGAGATATTTAGAAATCTTAGGAGGCTGTTTACTAATTGTGATGACTTCTTTTCTATTAGAAAAAAATCTGTGCTCATTAGGTTTTGTTTTGGTTTTGTGATTTTGTTTGTTTGAAATCCTATTTCTTGTCTACGTCTTTGGGCTTTCCTTCTTTAGATAAACAACCATCACTCCTTTATGTCCACCACAGAAGGCTGCCATTTTATCAGTCCCTCCAGATTTCAAAAGGATGCACTTATTGGCTTCATTAACAGCTGTAGGTTTGTTCTTTCCCAGGAGACTTTGACGATGCAGAAATGGATGACTACTCATTCTCGTGCTACAGTCAGCTGGAAGTGGATGGATCCCAGCACTTGCTGACCTGTGCATTTGACGACCCGGACGTCAACAGCACCAATATGGAATTTGAAATATGGTAAGGAATGGTGCCTTCAGTGGGTGCTTAGAAATCCTCTGTCTCTCTTTCGTATACTGTACAGCACCAGCTGCAAAGGTGAGAGTGTGGGAGTTAATTATCAAATATCATAATTGAATAAATTCCAAAAACTTCCAGGAACTCCTTGTCCTTCACCAAGAGACTCAAGCAAAGCAACTCCCAAGAGCTCATCTTTCAGGTCCCGCTGCTACAGCCAAATGATAGTATGGATGTAGGAGATCCCACATCCCTCCTGACTTCATGGCAGAATTTAAATTCTGGTTCTTCTGGGACACTCATCCCCCAAAAGCTCTTTGCCCAACATGAGACAATGTAGTGTCTTGAAGCTGCACTTGAGGGCAGGTGCCTGGTTTCTAATCCCAACACGAGCACTTACTAGCTTTTTAATCTCGAGTAAGTTGTATAACTTTTCTATGCCTTAGTTTCTTCACCTATTAAATAAGATATACCACCTCATAGGGAGATGTGGTGCTTAAATAATTTAATACTTTAATAATTTAATTAGAAGACATATCTGGTATGTAATAAGGAATGAAAAAGAGGCATTAAGTCAAAACTCTATGAATCTAGACTTAGCTGCCATCCCCTTGACACAGTTTGACTTCAGATGGTACTCTCAATAACCAGTTTTCCAAAAATCCACAGAAATAAAGTGGCTCTTGGTTTCATGGAGCCTCTGAGAAAAGGTAAAAAGAAAGTCTGTGTCTGGTTTGTAGGTTTGGTAAAGAACTCAGAACTTTATCTTCTCCCTCTTTCACAAATCATCTCTTGTTGCCAAGGGTTACTATCTCTAATGACTTGAAAAAAATACTCGACCGTGAAATTCTGACTTGTGGCTATTTCCAAATTCATATCAGATGACCTAATTTTAGTTAGTTGCCTAGTAAGGAAAGTAAGTCAAGATCCACCAGTACTAAAAGAGGGCTTCGTAAATTCTGTGGACACTCAGCCAATCCTCCACAATATATAGTCTAGACAAGCCCTGAATCCCACGTCTTACATTAATTCCCTACATCTGTTCATGAAGTGTCTTCTGCTATGGTCATTGGATAAATATGACCTTGGACTTGAATTCCATAGTGTGTTCTCAGTCTGCCTCTGTCAGTTCACTTCTATAACATGCTTTCCAGGAATAAAATATATCAAGAGAAGAGGAACCTACAATGTTCAGAATCTGTGCAGCAACTAGACTCCACTAAGGCAGCCGAACAACTCATTCAAAAGATGCACTCAGGGCTTCCCTGGTGGCGCAGTGGTTGAGAGTCCGCCTGCCGATGCAGGGGACATGGGTTCGTGCCCCAGTCCGGGAAGATCCCACATGCTGCGGAGCGGCTGGGCCCGTGAGCCATGGCCGCTGAGCCTGCGCGTCCGGAGCCTGTGCTCCGCAACGGGAGAGGCCACGACAGTGAGAGGCCCGCGTACCGTAAAAAAAAAAAAAAAAAAGATGCACTCATTTTTGTGGGCAAAACCCTCTCCAACACAGAGGTCTGCTTTGGGCTCTCCAGCCAGCCAGGTGGTGAACTGCAGTGGTTTTTCTTGGGGAGGCTGAGGCTGACCTGCTGCCACTTTCATTCACAATGGTATTTGACCACTTCCTTGGCCACTTGAACAAACTTTCCCGCTTCCTTTAACAAGTCTCTTGATTTCTCCTGTCATATTTTAACCTGTCCATAGCCTCCGTTTGGGTTTTTCAGTTGGGTTCAGATATTTCTGTTGGAAAGCGATTGTTTTAAGACACGTTTTCAGTGTGAAAGTATAAGTATGAAGCCCTTAGTAAGTTAAGGTGCTTCTGGAGAAAAGCCATTTTCGCAAAGGTATCCACACCTTGAGGGAGAGATTCGCGCAGCTCCTGGGTTCAGAGTAGTGATGTAGCTCAAGTTAAAGCCACTTGAATAGAGTGCTGTACTTGCTGCTTTGGTTGGGCTTCTTTTCCACAATGAAACTAGCTTTATTCGAGCTTTTTTTTTCTGTGAACATAAATTTATAAAGAAAGAAATTGTAAATGATTGAAAACTGTGAGTACTGCTGAAGTCATTACACAGGCGGGATTGTTGATAGAAAGCAGGCATTGTTTCCCAGAGGGCTCACCAGGGACGTTTTCTAACAAGCATTGCCTGATCTGGCCGCCAGTCTCCCAGGCTCAGAAACCCATTACTTAGTGTTCAGTGTGCAGTGTGCAGTTCCATCTCTCAGGGATGGACTTGGATTAGCCAAAATCACAGAGTTGGATTGCCAGCACTCCAGTTGACAACTTTACGTGGACAGATGCAACTATCATAGTGACCCAAATGTTCACCCCCGGCTCAGGTGTTTGGGGGGAGGAGAGAAAGAGAGGGCCAGTAGGTTGTACATCAATATAAATCCACTCTCACTGGGGGATCTAGAAATTCTTCATTCACCAGAACCCTAACCAGCTCCCAGGTACCTGGAGTGACAAAGCAGAGGCGCTAGAAACAGGCAGGGAGTTTGGAATCCCAGTAGCGGCAGTAGCTCTGTGACCCGGGGAGTCATTTAAGCTCTGATCCTAATGATCACCTTGCACTGGGGTAGAAGGTTTAGTGTCTGGCTTATGGTCAGTGCCTATAAATGGTACTTAATTCTCTCAGTGTCGTCAGATTTTCATTAAAAATGTGATCCAAAGGTTCCGTAAATACAGCAAAACAAAGGAAATGTGTTCGTTGTTTTTAAGACCAGAGTTAATTTGATTCATATCTCAAAGTGTTAATTTTTCTAAATTTAGTGGCCATCATTTAAAAATCTATGTATCTCTTTAAAAATCAGATTTAGTCATGCTGGGCCTAGACAGCAAAAATTAGCTGAACAAAATTCTGATTGCTTCTATAGATGGGGAATTAAATCTCAGTCCTGAAGTTGGGCTCCCTTTTCTCATTTCTATTACCCACGTGGACACCACAGGCATGTAAATGTGGGACCCTGCTTTTTAGGTGTCTGCATAACTTTCATATTCAGCTCAGAAGGTAATTATATTTCCTTTAGTTCCACATTCTTGGGGCACCACAGTCACTCCCGGGTACCGCCTACAGATACCACTTCAAATATGTCATTTTTTTGTTTTCATCAATTACCACCAACATCACAGGCTGCATCCTGCCAAATCTACTTCATGCTCCTGACTTAACTAGCAATATCTGTCAAGTGTTTTTAATTTAGTCCTTTCTACAGTAATCCATACCAACTTTCAAAGGTGTTTAATACTTTTGAGAAGATTCTGTCTTTTAGGGCCAAATGAGGAATAAAATCTATGGTTGTTTTTAGTATTTCCATGTAAATATCTGTTTGCACCAACAAGAGAAATGTATTTATCACTCTAAACTCCCCACGATTGCAGGAGGCTTAGGAAGGTGGCATTGGGGTGAAGAATCAGGTGCAGTGGTCCCAAGCAGTCTCGCCCTGTTTTCAGAACAAAGGAATTTGTGTGAGTGGCTTAGGTTTGATGTCCCTTAGGAAGCTCCTACAGGGCCAAATTTGCTAGCGTATGGTACTACTTGGGTACTTGTAGTGATCTCTTCACCAAAATACCCTAGAACAGCTCTATCCAACAGAAATACAATGTAATCCACAAATGTGTGAGCGATATACGTAATTTAAACTTTCCTAGTAGCCTCATTTAAAAAAAAGAAATAGGTGAAAATTAATTTTAATATTTTATTTAATGTAATATTGCCAAAATATTATCATTTCAACCTATAATCTGTGTGAAAAAAAATATTCATGAGCTATTTTACACTCTTTTGCATTCTACATCTTCAGAATCTGGTATTTCATATCTAGAGCACATCTCAATTTGGATGAGCCATATTTCAAGTGTTCAACATCCACATGTGGGGTTATGGCTATTGTGTTGGCCAGTGAAATCCCAGAACATTCCCAGTCCTAGCAATACACAGTTAACAACCAAGTAAGCTGTTTTAATTTAATTAAGTGAATTGAAATGAATTGGACTGAATTGAGTTGAGCCACTCATGGGGGGACACAGAGTTTCCTCCAATCTCCTAAAGCCAGGGCTAGTGGCACAAAGCAAGGCTGTCTGTTCTAGACCACAGGTGTCTCTTAGTCTTCCGGTGCAGCTTCCCCTCCACATAGGGCAGCTCCTAGAGCTCAGACCCCATAAAAGGATGCCTAGGCTCACAAGACAGCAATATGGTGATCCTTTATTTTTCTTGCTCATTACTTGCACTCCCTGAAGAGCAGGAATGAACTAAGAATACCATTTTAGATTCTTCTTAAATGTCCAAGAGTACCAGGACCTTGCTACATGTTAAGGATCTGCAATGGAATATTCCACACATGCTTTACTTACAAATATATCCTAAACTCAATGATTGAACCAAAAGCCATTTCCTTCTAATTCCTCCATAGCACATTTACCTGAAGTTCAGAAATGGGATCCTGACCCAGTTCTCCTCTTCCATCCTTACTCATCAAACCATGACAGTGTTGCCATCTTCAGAACTTTCCATCTGACTTTCCATCTGACACTCTTCTCAAGTTTGTTCCTTGGTATCCATCCAGCTTACCTTAAAATTTTGCTTTTTATTTTTACTCTTCTCCAAATGGGAAAACCCATGTAGCCCAACAAGGGGCATACTCTAGAAACTCCAACACACACACACACACTCAAAGCCAGAACTGCATACCCTAAATAACAGTTAACAAAGAACTATATTGGGGGGGAAAATTTTAAGGAATTTCCCACAAACAATAAATATTTTTAGCCAATTATTAAACTTAAAATTTATTCATCAGTCTTACGTTTTCATGACTACAAGAGCTTAACCACAAAGACCACAGCAGCCCAAAGGTGAGAGGTTCTTCACGTAAAGCTGAGGCATTCTCCTCAGATTTTAACTCCATGCCCACCTCGCCTCAAGCCATACAGACATGTTCCTTCTGCTCAGACTTCAGGAATGATCCTGGAAAGGGCTCACATGCGCACATGCACAGAAGAGGGCACACAC